ACTGCCTAATTAATTCAATATTAACGTTTCCGACAGTAACACTAGGTAACTCAGCAAACATCAATTGACTCAAGATTTTAAATACCTCTTGCAGGTGACTGTTAGCTAGCACAGAAACTGAATTGACAAGTTTCTGTTGACAAACTAACATTTCAACGAAATTATGAACATACAAACATTTTTTCAATTATGATAGGCAAAGTATATGCGATATGTTTTGTCATCTATGCTAGGTTTAAGCAAGAATAATGCTATTACATTTCAGTTATTCAACTTAAATTCTAGAAAGACCTTTCAAGAAACAGAATTTTTAATAACCTATTTTTATAAAGGAACTAACAAATCTGCTCATGCTAGAAATTCATGTTTAGAATAATTAAATAACATTAATAGTCTAATTTATTTTAGTTACATTAAGTAAAAACAAACTATTAAACTAACAAAATAATGCAAAATATTTATTTATTTATTTATACAAAACAATTAATTATAATGTGTTTCAGTAAATCTCCAAAAGATAAATGTTATATTTTGAATCGTTTACAAAGAAATCATTATTCATCTATTAATCTTTATATTAATCGGTGTATTTCAACTTATGTTGTAGTATCAATTGCTATGTTAAGTTCACATAGTTTATTCTAGCTTTCGAATAGACCAGTTTATTAATCCTTCTTGAGTCATATTTTGATCTTGTTAATTATTTGCTTACTATATGAGCATATATGTGTGCGTTTACTCTATTCATCACATGTCTGTAACTTATTTCTGTTCGACTATAAATATCGATTCGCATTTAGTTAAATCAAACTGGTTTATATGCCTTGTCCACCGCACGTCATTTCGCTTCGCTCTTTTCTTCTTCGTTTCGTTTCTCTGATCGTTTGTTTGGATCAATGATTGTAAGAAATATATGTATTCGAAATCCATTCTCATATTTGACTTTGTTAATTCCGTTATTCATTAACCCGAGTTAAGTCGATGATTATATACGAGGATATAAAGGACGTATATTTTAACAACAATCATTCATACGATCTAACTGGAATCAGATCTCGGACCACTATAATGTGATTTTATAGGAATTTTTCAGATCTCAAAATGTTATTTCAATATAAAGATTCAAACCAAAAAAACACAAAGAAACACTTTTAGTCCACTGAATGATAGTAATCTCATCTCAAACTTTCTTCTATCATCAGAATAATAGTAGATAAACGTGAACAAAAATATTAAAAGTTCCATGATAAATCTTCAATGAAAAACATGAAACAGTTTTATGTGAAGTACCACTAGTCAGAACGACTTAAAAATTTTCAGAAATAAAAAATTGCTTCAATGGAAATGATCAGTATTCAACGAGAAAATTAAAAAACACATGATAATAAATCCCCAATATTAATACAAACTGAAAACACTGGGGAGAATGAAAATTATGAATATTTTACACAATTATTCGAAGTAAAAGACTTCAGTACGAATCTTCTGAAGTGATTTATTTCATATATTAGTTATTTTACAACCTCATATATCATAGAACATTACTCTGGTAATACAATCATAAAGGAATTGACTATGATCTAGGATAATTAGTAAAGTTCTTTGACAGTTAAACAGACTCTTCACTATATCATAGAACTTAATTAATGGTCAAAATATAATAAAAGTTTGTTCAGTATGCAGTACTGAATAGATAGAAGAAATTATTTCGAAACAAGTATAATGTGAGTTTCTGATGTGAACAGAGAAACAAAAAAGCTATGACGAACAACGGAAGTTATTTTGGGGACGTTATTTCACTTAATTCAAAGCTTGTTAAACACTAACATTTAGTTTGAATCCCAGTTTATTCTACAGACAATAAGCTTTGGTTTGATGTATGATTCACTGCCATATTCTTTTCTGTTTTAAATCTATTGTAGCTTAAATGTAACCTCGGGTACTCTATTTCTCTACACTAATGCCGAGTTTGGACTTAATTGTGTTTTTTTAATTGCTTGTACTTTGCTGTCATTTTAGTCATTTATTTATTACTGTATCTTTTTACACCAAACTGAATTGAAATTTGGAATCGGAATCAAGAGTTAATCGAGTACTGTCCCAGTTGACTCGTTTTCTCGCTTGCTTGTCAGTCAATCAGGCGATAGAATAGATTTTCGTCTCTCTATCCAAGGCAGTTAGTTTCAATTCGGACTCACGTATTTCCAGCCTCAAGGTTAAACCAGTTAGCTTGTAGCGTGGTGCCGAGTCGCGGTAGACATCACTATAAAGGAACGCGTGCCAGGATATCTATAAAATCCCCCGGAAGCCAAATATCAGAAGGCAGTTAATGAACCAAGTCGAGATATATTTGCTGGCGATCTCGTGGTATCGAAATAATACCGAGATCGCGCCAGGACACAAGCTTGGTTACTGAGCGTAACCGGAGTAAGTATAATGGATTCACTGAGGAACTAAGGCATCATTTTTATTCTTAAATTCATATACAATAAAGAATACCTGAAGACACTAGATCTATCGACCTTAGTATATGGATGCTAAATTTATACATATTTCTACAATGCTGCTCGTGTACCATTGTAGACAGAATTTTTTGTCTTGTATGAGAGATATGCTTCCACTCTCCAGTGTTTTGAACTTGGTAGCAGCGATCAAATTCTAGAAATCGTCAGAATATTAACAAACGCCTCCACTGCTCATCAGAACAAAAATGTTTGAGTATAGTAAGATATTTACATATAAAATATGTACACTGTGTTAACTTGGAATTTTTTATGTCTTTATCCTTACATATTCACTTCGTTTTTTTTGGTTGATATAAAATTACCATCATTAATTTTGCCTGTAATTTTGTTTTTCGGCTTTTCTCTTACTGTCTTAGTTATTTCTTATTCAGTCACTGGATTTCAGTGGCTACCATCTTTATTAACTGTTTTATTGATTGCTAATATTTGATTGACTGGTTTCACAATTATTACGAGGAACCAATAACGTTCCTCGTTTGTTGGAAACGTGTATTGCTGTTGGAAATTTGATTACCTAACTGAGTGAATAGGATTGGTGACTAAAATCCTGTGAAAAATATTTTTCTATGCTAATCTAAAGAGCAAGTGTCGTCCGTTTTTCCCTCACATTGACGATTAAATTAGACATTTTAATCAAAGACGTTAAATGTATTTAATTTTATGACCGTACTTGGGTAATATGTGGCGCTTGTATAAACTAATGATTCTTTTGCTCTTGATGACTGCCTGGTTTTGAATTGTAAACACGATACATTCGTTTGTGCTCACCCAGTTATTTGTGGCTTGGATTGCGTTGTTTCGGAAATTACTAGTTCGTACAATAATTCAAATACTACCAATCATCACATAATCTCTGCGTTTAATATTCTGAACGTAGAATTGTGCTGCACATGTACCAAGCCAGCTTCTAGGCTAAATAAGATGCACAAAATGATCCTCAAGCAAGAAACTTTAAAGACAAATTCCTATATTTCATTCCTCACAAATTTTTTTGGAAAATCAAGTGAACAGTCAATTCATAGTTAAGCCATAGGGAGAATCGGCTGGATAATATATACATATATGCAAATATATACAGTTTTTGAATTTAACTCGAAACACACAATTCTGGAAATGGCTCACAATTTCTTTATCTCATAGGTCGTAATTGCATGAACAAGATTAGTAGGAAATCATCTACAATAAACTGATACATTACAGTTGTGCGTGTTAATGTTCTTCTTTATAACGGAAGAGAATAATAGTACCAGCCATGATTACGTAAATAATGAAGATGCTACTGAAACATTATGCTTAAACAGCGTAACTGATATGTTTCTTTTAATGTATTTCATGTCTCCCTATACTTATTAACTAGTTTTCATTTTCAATTTCACGTCTTAAAACTGCACAGAATATTCTTGAAATTCATGAGCATACGGAGTATAAAGTGTAAAGTATAAGGAAAGCAGTCAAAGGTGGGAGCGCTCAACCCCCGAATATCGCTATAGACTTCGGGAGACTAGCGAAATTACTAATGCTGTTTGCGTATATAAAGAAAATTACGCCTACATGAGTATTCCAAATGACAGGTTAGTAAGATAATAGCTAAACAAGCCACAAGTATTCGGAGTTCGATATATCGAGAAGTGACTAATCTAAGCTGGTTAGCAGTTGCAGGAAAGGCAAAACAAAGGGCATCCAATACTGATCTGATGTGAATGCGTGACCGAGTGCCTTCAGCTAGGTGAGTCCATTAAAACTAATGCGGTCAGCATCAAATGTCGATGATTTACACAGCTATATATTTTGGGGATTTATTTACCGCTACAAAGTTATCGAGTCGTTAGTAGCATGAACTGAATTACTCCCCAGATTGAAAAATTGTTCCTGTTGTAGAATACCATTGTGGTTGACTTTTGTTGGGCCTTCATAATTAAAGAATCTCAAATCCAGTCATACCAGAAGTCAGGAATGAAGGAATTCGAAGTTATATTTGAATAGCAGTCGGTATTTCGAAAAGTGAGTGAACTATGCTAGCTAGTTGTCGTGAGGATTTGACTTACGATATACCCAATCACCATCCATTATGGATGTGTGGTCGAACGCCTTCAGCTAGTGTGTCCAGGTAAATTAACGAAGTCAGCATCAATGTCGAAGACTTACTGAACTATTTATTTCTCGAATTTATTTACTGCTAAAGTACAGGCAAAATTCGTGAAAACTTTTTTGTGGTTGTGAAACTCCTCACAGCATGCGACAGTGAATACTTTTCTGTTGATCCTTTTAACAACACATTTCAGCAGGCACTGACAAGAGAGCACTCCTTGACTACTTCTCTAATCATTATCTAATGCTATCGTCCTTCAGGCATACATGAAACATTACAAGAATCATAAATCTCCTTAAGCAAGAATGCTCTTTCTTTCCTGGACACAATTCAGAAAAAGTGAATCCTCCGCTAACCTTGTCTAGCAAATTTAACATTATCGGCCGTACAATTCAATTTTGACGATACACAAGGTCATGACCTTAAGTTGTTGAGGTATATGCCCAAAAGCTAGTGTTTTGCCTTTTGATTCAAAACAAAGTACAACAAAGACGTAGACAATGTTCGACAACGAAAAGATTTTTGATAAAAAAGTGACACGACTATAATTAACAAAGTTTCGATAATAAACTTGATGCAACAGGCTGCGAAAATATGAATCTCAGATTTTGTTGATAAAGTTTATGCTAAACTGCAGGTTAATTTAAATTGATCTAGTGTGACTTTGGATTTTGTCTAATAATAATGTAATTTAAGGAGGAATCACTTCAGTGCCATGCAAAGGTTTTCGTTATATGTACATACTAACTGACACTGTGGAGCTCAGGAAATAAACTTAGATTATAATTTTCACAACTGTGTACCGGTAGCATAATGTCAGTAGTGTTAATTCTTGACTGATTGATGCGAATAGTAATGAATCGCATTAAAGGAACAACAATGATTATTACTATTAATGGCAATAATCATTTACTTAAATGGCTCAGTTATCACTGATCACAGTACATGCATGTGGGAGACTACATGAATCTGACTGCAAAGTAAATGCTCGCAAAAATTAGCCATTCAGAACGCAAACACATCTTTTTCGATTTCCAATGACACGTGCCCTACAAATATTAGTATATTTTTTCTCAGAACTGAGTATTTTAAAATGGTATTTAGTTTGTAGCCATATTACTAGTGTTTCTTGTTAGAGGTCGTTTATTTATCTTACCTATTTTATTTCGTAATGGGATTCGATTTTATGCTCAGCTACACAAGATTCACACTGAGAATCTTAACACATCCACACCCCACCTACCTGAGAAATCCAATTATACAGTTCATCTAGCAACTGTTTATTAATACTTCACAAGCTCCTCCAAATTTCTTTCGTACGATCTCGTTTAGATTTGGAACAATGAAATTATTTATTTGTCCATTATTCAGGAGTTATAATTGTAGTCGCGTAAAGTGCTACGTCGCCTCCCTCTTCATGTTGTGTTTAAATGATTACCGTTTGTCGTTGACACGTATTTACACAGTAATTTACTACTCACAATCCTTCATTTAAGGTATTTGGAAGTGAGCATGTTGTCCCAGCAATCAAGCTGAATGCAATTTATTTAATTTTAGTGGATACGATGAACTAATTTATGAGGACCGGAGTATTCCCAGTTTAAAATACTCTTCATCTATTATTCTTTAGTTTGTGGTATATACATGTATATGTTCTTAGTGGTCTTTAAAGACCATAACCCTAATTAGGGTTATGAAAAATTGAATTCAGCTCTGGCTGTTGACATTAATATGTCTAGTGCTATCATAAGGCACTGAGATAATTATGCACATGCTACCTACGTTGAAATGTATGTTGGTAGTAGCATTTTAAATTTCACATACACGTTACGTTGTATATTGGTAAATTGGTAATTTTCCACATACATTTTTTGTCATTTCAGATGTCAGTATAACGCTGCATGCTTCAATGAACTCGGTTAAATGCCTTAAGTTGGTCACAACCAGATCAAAAATCTTGCACTGCTTAATAGAGGATAGTTTAGTTGCGAAATCTACAGTTTATCGATTTTCAACCAGACCCGGATTGATTTCAAATTCTGTAAAGACAAATGCACAGTCAAAACCGTCGTCCCTTGTTGGTAAACATGCACCACTGATTCTTACAAAATCAGCTGTAGCTCGAGCTCTGCAGCTCTTGCAAATGAATCCAAAAGCCACAGGATTACGCATTGGAGTTAGGACCCGTGGATGTAATGGCTTGTCATATACTTTGGACTTTTGTTTTGAAGGACGCCAACCCGGAGATGAAGTTGTAGAACAAGATAATGTCCGCATTTTCATTGATCGCCGAGCTCAGCTGACGTTACTAGGTACTGAAATGGACTATCAACAGGACGTACTATCAAGTCAATTTGTTTTTAATAACCCTAATATTAAAGGCACATGTGGGTGCGGAGAGAGCTTTAGTGTATAGATTTCGATTCTTAATTTTGATCTAGCACCCGTGTGTACTTCCAGATATGTATTAAATTTAATTCAATTTATTCTTTAGTAAATGTTTTCTGTTTATTTATGTTTTTATATTTCATCGTACGAAAGTTATAATACCTGGCTTATAAGAAATATGTTGACTGTTACTTAACAGATAATCACATATTTATTAGAAGTGCACTAAGTTTGTTTAGGTATTTCAGTGCTTGTTTGTGTAGTAGTTTATTGATTACAGCACAGCTCTAGTGCAAATAACCGGGTAGCATCACTACTCCTCCAAAATTGGGATTCAGAGCTGAGTGCACGAGTCCTAATATGGTAATTGAGTTTTGTAGTTTATCATTATTTATTTTAACACATATATATGTTGGTACAAGGAGGCACCAAATACATATGCACCACACATATCTCATGAGGGCCGTGGTACTGCCCGGGTTCCCAAACCGAAGCAGGTGGTTTCCTTAGGGGGCCACTCCCCGAGCCTTCGACCTGAAGGTCTGATCCACAAGGCAGTGGAGCAACGTCAGGAGATGCACTCCCATGGCAGCCGGTGACCAATAATAGGTAATACGGATTTGTTCCCTCAGGATACTGGAGTCCTTGTGCACCATTGGTTTGGAATAAAGGTTTTCCAACTCCTCTAGATGGACCCTCCGTATTCGCCAACCCGGATGAAGCACCAGACATTCTCTTTTCGTTCTTTCAATTTCGTAAACAACACCTCCGTCAAGAGAATTGTGTGAGTAGGACTTCCATGTGAGTGGCTGTATACACGTGGCCATGTGAGAGCATTTCGAGAGCGAGAGCTGACTCCCCCCACTCTCGACCGTACCAGGACATCTGGAGTTTCTGTAGTACCAGTCCTGACAATTCATTACTTTTTTGACCTTTTGCCTAGTAACAGCTTATATACTACTGATTTGAAAATTTTATCTCCGAATTCCAACAATGAATTCATCTAGGGAAATATCTCAGACTGCTCTTCGCATACAAGTAGTTTGGTTGCCAAAATCAGTTTTCATGAACTTGAGATTTACACACAACCTAACTCTGTTAAGTCAAGACACTAAAAGCATAGCTTTTCTAATCTCTGGCTCTCATTTGTATACAGTCTGAGATTTTGGTCACAACAGATTGAAACATCTCTATTTTTATCAAGTGGTTACTATGGAATCTAATCTTATTTATGATCTTACTAAAAAGTATGCTTTAGGTCTCAGTTGTTATAGACTATTTGTATTTATGTGAACAAATAAGCACATTTTATACACTAAATATACTTTATCTATCATCCAGAGTGATACACCGTTCAGAATAGGAAGCCGATCATCCTAAAATTAAACGACGTGAAGTAGTTCGAACATATCTAATCTCCCTACTTTGAGGTTTTCCCCAAATATGGGAATTTGTGCCATTTCCCTAAAAGCTTCTACAGTGGCTTCCCCAAAATAGAGAAGTTGGTTAAGGTTGAAGTTTGTACCAACTACACGTGCTGTTACTCAAGGCTGTTAAACTGTTCTGTAAAGCGACCCCACTCAGCTAAATACGTTCTGTGTTTTATTCATACTAGTATGCCCTAGTACGGCGGAGAGGGCCCATCTTTCCTTTCGAAGTGCTCTCGCACGACCACGCGTATACAACATTTGCCAGGGAAGTCCTACTCACTGCCTTCGCGTGGCGGAGGTATTGTTTACGAAATTGAGAGGACGAAAAGCGAATGTCCGGCGCTTTAACCGGGTTGGTGGACATGGTGAGTCCACGTAGAGCAGTTGGGAAACCTTGATTCCAAACCGATGGCGCACATGGGCTCCAGTATCCTAACGGAACAAATAGAGTACGAACCAATTGCTGGTCACCGGCTTCCATGGGAATGCATCTCTTGACGTCGCCCCACCGCCTTGTGGGTCAGACATTTAGGTCAAAGGCTCGGGGTGTGGCCCTCTAAGAAAACCACCTGCTTCGGTCTGGGCACCCAGATATCACAGCCCACACACAAACAGAAGGAAATGACGATACGGATAATACTATACTTGCTTCCATTAACGGTCAAAAGTTCCACATTGATGTTATTATTTACTACGTCATTTATTCACTCTCTTTTATTCCCACTTTATGTATCCTTATTTTTCGACTTAAACAGCAGCTCGCCTATGTTGGAAACTCGGTTCTATCTAAACGTTCTCGAGTCACTGCCTGGTTGAGAATTGTATGCTACCACCAAATACGAATACTGAAGCAGTTTTTCTGAAACCACATGCACCACTAAAACTGGCTGCCTTCAACGTTCGAACTTGAATGCACGTCGCACAACAGATACGGCTGGTTATATATGTCTTTGGAAAGTCTTAATATCAACGTTTGTTGTGTATCCGAGACGCTTATTCAAGACTCTGGTGATGTACTACAAATTCGCTCTCCATGTATCGCCTCGAAAGGCTTGTTTTATGTGCGTTTATCCGGGTACCCTGTGGCATCTTCGTCTGATCTTGTTGGCGTTGGTGTCGCACTAAGCGCTAGAGCTGAGGCAGCACTAATCGATTGGATCCCCATTAAGTCGGTTATGTGCTGTTAGATTAGAAAGTTCCATCAAATAGAGAAAAAATCGGCGTGAGAAATGATGTCTTTTCGTCATCTCCGCGTATGCCCCAACAGATCGCATGCCGAATGCAATTAAGAATGAATTCTATCACCAGTTAACTGTTCTTCTCCAGAAATTGTAGTACTAGCTGGAGACTTGAATGCTCAGATCGGTCGTCTTCTCTCATACTTCGTAGGTTGTTGAAAACCCGAGAAAGATTGGCTCGCGAGAAGCAGGCTGGTTTTCGTTCTAGTCGAGGATGTATTGATCATATCTTCACCCTCCGCAAAATGTTAGAACACCATCATACTTATCAAAGACCAACAATCGTAGTGTTTCTTGACATCAGGGCTGCCTTCGATTCGTTGGACAGCACTGTTCTCTGGGATTGTCTATTGAAGAAGGGTGTGCTTGAGAAGTTTATTAAAACCCTAAAGGTCCTATATCCAAACGCCTTAGGCAGAGTGAGGGCACACAACCATCTCTATCCATTGTTCCATTCAAGCAGTGGAATTAGATAGGGTTGCCCAATCTCATCATTCCTCTTCAACTTTGCCATCGATGACATTCTGGAAACAGTTCTGATGGATATAAGTAATGGTGGTATAGATCTGTTGCCTGGAGAAAGACTTTTCGACCTTGAGTATGTGGATGATATTGTCTTACTGTGCGATAATGCCCAAGCCATGCAATTCACACTTATTCAGTTGGCAATCAATGTTCGTAGGTATGGTATGTGCTTTGCACCTTCGAAGTGCAAAGTACTTCTACAAGACTGGCAGGATTCTAATCCTGTACTCACTCTGGATGGTGAGTAGATAGAAGTAGTCGAGAAGTTTGTATATTTAGGTAGGTACATAAGTGCTGGTGGTGGTGTGAATGATGAGATCAATGCACGTATAGTGAGAGCCACAGCGGCTTATGCCAATCTGGGCCATCTTTGGCGCCTTCGTGCTGTCAGTCTGGCTGTGAAAGATCCGATCTACAACGCGTCGGTGAGAGCAGTTCTGCTCTATGCTTGTGAAACCTGGCCTCTCCGAGTTGAGGATGTTAGAAGACTCTGTGTTCGATCATCGTTTTCTCCGAAGGATTGCTGACATCCAGTGGCAACACCATGTTAGTAATGCAGAGGTTCGGCATCGTGTTCGGGCGCAGAGACGGTAATCCAGCTGGTGTCACCATCTTGAAACACCAACTTCGGTGGCTTGGACACGTTCTACGAAGGTGTCCCAGAGAATTCCAAGTCGTGCATTACTTTCCGACGCTAGGACTGGTTAGAAAACGCGGAGAGGTGGTCAGTGCATGACATGGTGGCGTGGTATGTAAGGAAACTAGGCTGGGTTTCGTAGGTCCTTCACGACTGCCTCGCTGGGGTCCGAGAGATGGTGCGACGTTATCAGATATGACTCAGAATAGAAGCCAATGGCGATCCTGCTGTAACCTTTTACTTTCTTCGTAGAAAGTGGTTGTGACTTCCTTAACTGAAAGATTTCTTCTGTTTGTACTTTTCCGTTTTCCCCATTATTATTATTATTAAACTACTTCACACTAATCCGGTCGTTATTGTTCTTTTTTCTTTTACGCTCCTTACATTCTTTTTCTCTTGTCATTCTCATTGTTTTGTGTGGCTCATATATATTTGGTGCCCTCTTGTATCAATATTTATGTGTTCAAATAAAAATAATTCATACTTATATACTCGTTAAAATACTGCCCTGAACTGTACCTACCAACATGAAGAACTGATAGTTATTGGTAACACAATTGGGCATCTAGAGTTTGTTCCGCAGTAATGCAGATTTGTACGTTAAAATTGTACGACGGATTATCAGTCGGAAAACCTTGAAAAGTCAAGTCAAATAGTTAATTGCAATGGTACTCAATATGATAGATAAGCAAACTTCCATTCAATTTGATAAGTTTTATAACACATATATCTACCAACAAGATTAATGGACAACGCCCAACAAGCATGGTAAAGCCCCACAACTTTTAGTATCATTCAAGAATTAACCGAATTTTTAAAATCATTACATGCAGTAAGGTTACAGTTCTTAGAAACAAAATGCAAGACTACATAGGAGGTAAAAAAATTATCGTAAATATTAAATCAAAATAAGTGACAAGGCGAAGCTCTCAGCTGGGACTACAAAGGAAATTCACGGCGATAAATTCCTATAGCTTCATGCACCTAAAATATCGGCTGCTGGACCGGCTGGACACGATCGAGAACACTTGCGTTGCAAATCCGAGAACGGGCGTCCTTGTAAGAGACAGACCAAAACGACAGTCATGTTATCGCAGCCCAAACCATTTGTATGACAGTCAGGTGCTAGACATCGCATCATAAGTTCTTCACATACCTAGGAACAATAAAATGTGTGGTTTAGTATGAACACAAACAAGAGGTCTTATACTTTTCGAGACCTCTGGTTAAAATGGCTATATTTACCAGTATCCCAAAAGCATATTAATTCTCAGAGTATTTAGGCATAGAACGAACAATCAGTTCAGATCCTCTAATTTCTAATAGTTAACGATACTCATATATACACTCGCTCGCACTATTCATTGTATCGTAATTAATTTCTACAGCGGAAATTATAACAGTATGACTTGGTATTTTTCACTTTTTTGTGATATAACTGATGGTTTACAACATTTTTCCCCTCTACATGTACATTAAGATAATACGTTAATAAGACTAATCACGTTATTTCAGAACCAGTATTCACGATCCAAAAGAGAACTAGGTTAACACTAGAGAATACTTTATGCAATACAATTGCAAGCATTCACATACAGTATGTCCAGAGTAGAGATCAAAGATAAAAAGGAAAATCACATATTTAATAGTCCGTAGGCTATTGCTATTTATTCACGCTCAACAACCAATCATACTTTACTTTCACTACCACACATCAATTGAATTTATACCGCTTACAACATTTCTATTTTTACAGAAATATGCGTTTTGGTAGTATATCCATTAAATGTAGGAAATACTTAGAAGCTGTAGAATACTGGAATTTAACAGTGCATTGATTAATACTGGCAGTTCTGTCAAAATTAAATGTATTGTCACTGTAATCAGTGCAGATTAAATTTGTTATATTAAATAGCTGTACTTTTCAGAACACTCAGTGATAATGAACCATATTTTCATATACTGTTTGGAATACAACAGTTTTTTATGACACGGAAACTAGGTATTTTGTATCAATTCATTATAAAGGGAGGTTAACGACTAAACTGCTTCTGCTTATTGATCTAAAAAGACCCTTTAAAGAGCCTGGAACATATAGATCTTAATTCTACAGCACGTTTTGAGAAATTTCGAAAACGAATTCTTATTTCGATATGGTGCTTTAATAAAAATGTATTACTATGTAAAATCTTACTTTAGATGGAAGCATACCATAACTGAGTCGCAGACGAATAAAGCTTACAACTTCCTGATTTGTCATTACATCCCATATACCATCGCAACACAGTACAATAAATTCATCATCTTCGACTGAAAGTCGTCGAACAAAAACATCCGGATTTGCAGTTACGATTTGGTTTTCGGCAGACTGGTGTGGATTACGCTTGAAGACAAAATCTCCGAAAGCTCGTGATAGTGCAAGGTTCCCATTCACACGTTTTGCATCGACCCAACCACCAGCAGCAGAAATACGTTCTTTCTCAGCACGTAGAGTTGGTTTGTGATCTGTAGACAAAGGTTCTGCGACTCCACGTCTGCTACATACTGCACGGCTGTCTCCAGCATTTCCACAGTAAAGCATTTGATCTTTCAGTAGGACTATTATTCCAGTGGATCCAGCCAATTCATCACCTGGATTTGGAATTTTCAAAGAGAAGCTTGTTGTACTGTCATTGTGGGTTTCAACAGTACTATCTTTCACTGCCACAACTGAACCAGGAGCTGTTAAATTAACTGAGCTGTCTAATTTCGGTGCCGATGATTTAACAGAATATGTGGTCATTTCAGATTGCATCTCAGCATCCATAGAAAGAAAGGCATGACGAATAGCCTCTTTTATGTCATTCCGACCTAAAAAGGACAAGTTAACGGCTGGTTATGTATCGAGATCCTTTTAAGGATATAGTAATATCTGGTGACCAAATTATTGTTTAATTTCCACATATTCGCTTCCACTTATGTAATAAGGAAAAAACAAAAAGTATTTTACTTAGAGGTATAAGTTAGTTAGAACTGCTTCATAGCTTTGTACTACTTTATTATCCAACAGTAAATCAATTGTTCGGTTCTTTAAATTAGGATGTTTCATCGTAGTTCTACAAATGGGAAAAGTCCAAAGTCATCGTTTGCTCAATTTGTGGTGGGATAACATCCACCCAATCACACAGCTTAATAGGACTAGTTGAAAATTTCATAGTATTCCCATAAACATACATGAGTTAGTCAATCGGTTAATGCGATGACCAGCTTAGTTTTTAACCCTAATGCAGGTCACTCGAATGATACTGGGGATGTCGTAGTTTATTTTATTTATTTATTTATTTGAACACATAAATATTGATACAAGAGGGCACCAAATATATATGCGCCACACAAAACAATGAGAATGACAAGAGAAAAAGAATGTAAGGAGCGTAAAAGAAAAAAGAACAATAACGACCAGATTAGTGTGAGATAGTGTAATAATAATAATAATGGGGAAAACGGAAAAGTACAAACAGAAGAAATCTTTCAGTTAAGGAGGACACAACCACTTTTTACGAAGAGATTAAAAGAAGGTTACAGCAGGATCGCTACTGGCTTCTGTTCTGAGCCATATCTGATAACGTCTCTAGCCACTGTGTTGCACCATCTCTTAGACCCCAGTCAGGGAGTCGTAAAGGACCAACAGAAGCCAGCCCTTTGCAGCTTTCTTTCATACCACGATGTCGTAGAGAACAATATTGATGGGGATTGTGGCAGGCTAAGACTATGTTTATCATCATACGTTGCAACCACAAAGTGTTATATATAGCCATTTTAGGAAGAAATATATGAGTTTTATAACTATTGTATATTCCAGTGACATTTATAACATTACTATCAGGATGGATGAATCCAAAACGTTCCAGATAACTACTAAATGTTCACAGGGGGTAACTTTAATAACTAAAATGGCTACCGACGTGTCTAATACTGAATTGGTGTTTAGACAGATAATGAGGAACGACATAGATATACAAACATATAAGCAAAAATCTCAAGTTAACTGAAACACCCTGTTAGCGAGACAGAGACTGGATTAAATTATGCTCCATGCACGATTGCATTGGTGCTCGCTGATTGCTTAATTCTTATCTAATCAGCGCTAGCCGATGCTTGGAGAACATTCTAGAATATTCCCCTGTAAAAACTATAAATATGCTAACGTTTTTCTTATCGTGCTTCTTACTTCGATCCACCCTTGTTATCTGAAATATAATTCCCTATATGTTCAACCGCCTTCTGATTTGGGGACTTGTCGAATGAATTGGTGTCCAAGAATACTATGAAATAGGAATAGATGAATTGTAATATGAGAGAATTATAACACACCCATAAAACCTATTAGGTATACATCCTATGGTTCAAGTGTTGAGAAAGAAAATCAAGATATCAACAAAAATGTTATGAGATAAAGTTAACATTGGTTTGGTTTTACATATGTGAAACAGCTATTAAGCCAGAAATTTCAGCGTGAAAAATACGTGTACTGATGCCAACCGTTTGTGGCAAAAGGAAATAACACCACATTAAGTCCTAGCCTCGACTTTTATAGACCTCGCTTTTTCAGGCAGATTTTAAGATGGATATAATGAATGGTGGAAAGACTACGGATACGGTTTCAGAGAATAACTGGATCACAAAGCATAACTACGTGCACCTACGTCAAGCAGAGATTTATTCAAACTTTGCCTGTGATCAAAATAGCTTTCTATCTGTTCAACTTAGGTATGCATTACCCGTAAGGTCTTATACGTGATGCGCTCGTATGCTATTTTAATATTTCGCAACTCTGACGTCAATAAAACGAACAAGACGACCTCTATTCTCTTCTTATTTGCCACCTCAACAACAGTGAGAAGTTCAGCTTCGCAATGGAAGCTTATTTGATGATAGCCTAAGTATAATTAAAAAATCAGTTTAGGTAACCGGTTATATATCGGTTAAAACGATCAGAATTCATAAACTGAGTGACTGCCACCAAACACAAATCAGAGCGAAGACCTATTCAAAGTTCAGAAGCCAATGTTACGAAAATTAATTAAAAGTTTACCTGACCCTCACTTTAAATTGATATCAGCCTTCAAAAAATCACATGTAGTCCTAGTTACCAAACTTTTTGCTATATGTATACGGTATTCATCAATATACTTTTCTTTCAGAAAGTATGACAACTATTATTCATGTGAGGTCACCACAATATATGTAGACTAATTCAAGCTATTAACTACCATAAATTGAACCTGACAATTGCTACAGATGAGCAAATTACATATTTCAACGAGTACCAAATCAAAGAAAGAAAAATAGGCGCATCAAATAATTTCCTAATTAGCATGCCTTTTTTAAAATCGATCCAAGTGAGAAAGAAGACTTACTATATTCAATTTGCTCAAGGATTTTCTCGTGAAGATGACGACTTGCATGATTTGCCACTCTTGTACCTCCATGTCCATCAAAAACTGAGAAATAGGCAGCCTTTGGATCACCAGGAAGCTCTAGTAAACACATATGAGCGTCCTCCATATGTACACGCCATCCTTGCATGCTGGATACTGCAACACTATAATTTTCATTCTGCCAGCTCTTCGTTTCCTTGGATAGAACAGGAGCACATAAAGACTGACCCATTTACGCCAAATAAAGAACACTACAGTTGCCTTTCGTACTGCTTCATTTAACTAGTTATTATGGTCCGGTTCACCCCTTACACCTACGCTACATACGCTTGACGGTTGTGGTGAGACGATGTTCTATAAATGAAGAAACAGAAAGCACATGATAAGTAGAATGGAAAAATTTTAAATAATTGACGAGATGTTAATAGTGAATGAACTTAGCTGTCATGGATCCTTGCAAGACAAAACCTTTCATGTTTTCGGTTGTAATTTTCCTTTAGGGAAATGCATTAATGACGATTCTATCTATTTGAGAATGTGAACACAAACTACAGTGACTACTGGAGACCAGTCGTACAGAACATTTTCTGAAATATTTAACTTTAATGTGGTACAAACCGGTATACTTCTAAGAAGAAGATAACTGGCAGAGGAATCCCGTGGCTAATGGTTTATGGGTTATCTTTTAGATTAAGCCCTGTTTTTGAGAAGGCAATATGGGTGGGTAACGTACTGATGCTGCTAAAGCACAGTGCAGACAGTGGTTCAACGTTCAATAAGAACCTTGTTCTTACTACTACTTAATCAACATCACAGTAAGCAAACCATGACAAGCTGAGACGGAAATGAATTAATTTTGAAAAGTAGTAATGCTTTTAAGACATGTAGGTATATACATTTGACCAGTGACACAGAAAACACTCACCTTTGTAGTACAGAAGCTAAAGTTGATGTCAGTGCGAGGACTCTAGAAGTGTTACTTAGTACACTACCGAAGCAGTCGAAACACTCAATAGGTTGGAAGAACACCTTCAATAATCTGGTATGTAAAATGGAATACAGATAATTGGTGAATAATATCTGTTTTGTTAGCCTTACTAGTATACGTTTTGAAATAATGGAAAAAATAATTAATATTGCCAGTCTACATAATGCGGAAAAGATCAATCATTTAGCCATAGAATTTATCTTTCGGGTGTTTCATTTACATCTGATTGGTTGGTCATCGTTATAACTTTACTGGTATCCTTATATAATAGAGAGGTGTGTTGTTGCGTTTAATTAAAAAATGTTACAGAAATTCGGACTAACCCACGAAAAATGGGAGTTAAAAGCTTTTGTGACAATTTTATTTTCATTTAAACATAGTTAGCAGAACTACCTGTAGATGCAAGAGACTGTAAACAGTCTGTAACGTGTACCAGTTTTCGTCTAGCCAGAAGGTGCGTTGTGTACTAGGGGGCCAGAGTAGCGTGAGGGCTAAAAAATAAGTGAATTAACGACCCAGTAAGCGCAAACAATCCACCAATATTTATCAAAGACAGAAATAAACGAGGATCACTAATAATACTGTCCTCAAAATATGACAAGTTTGGGAAAAAAAAAGTACATAGTCTAGCATGCCACAAACACAATATTGTCTGCTTGATTGCTGGGACAACATGCTCACTTCCAAATACCTTAAATGAAGGATTGTGAGTAGTAAATTACTGTGTAAATACGTGTCAACGACAAACGGTAATCATTTAAACACAACATGAAGAGGGAGGCGACGTAGCACTTTACGCGACTACAATTATAACTCCTGAATAATGGACAAATAAATAATTTCATTGTTCCAAATCTAAACGAGATCGTACGAAAGAAATTTGGAGGAGCTTGTGAAGTATTAATAAACAGTTGCTAGATGAACTGTATAATTGGATTTCTCAGGTAGGTGGGGTGTGGATGTGTTAAGATTCTCAGTGTGAATCTTGTGTAGCTGAGCATAAAATCGAATCCCATTACGAAATAAAATAGGTAAGATAAATAAACGACCTCTAACAAGAAACACTAGTAATATGGCTACAAACTAAATACCATTTTAAAATACTCAGTTCTGAGAAAAAATATACTAATATTTGTAGGGCACGTGTCATTGGAAATCGAAAAAGATGTGTTTGCGTTCTGAATGGCTAATTTTTGCGAGCATTTACTTTGCAGTCAGATTCATGTAGTCTCCCACATGCATGTACTGTGATCAGTGATAACTGAGCCATTTAAGTAAATGATTATTGCCATTAATAGTAATAATCATTGTTGTTCCTTTAATGCGATTCATTACTATTCGCATCAATCAGTCAAGAATTAACACTACTGACATTATGCTACCGGTACACAGTTGTGAAAATTATAATCTAAGTTTATTTCCTGAGCTCCACAGTGTCAGTTAGTATGTACATATAACGAAAACCTTTGCATGGCACTGAAGTGATTCCTCCTTAAATTACATTATTATTAGACAAAATCCAAAGTCACACTAGATCAATTTAAATTAACCTGCAGTTTAGCATAAACTTTATCAACAAAATCTGAGATTCATATTTTCGCAGCCTGTTGCATCAAGTTTATTATCGAAACTTTGTTAATTATAGTCGTGTCACTTTTTTATCAAAAATCTTTTCGTTGTCGAACATTGTCTACGTCTTTGTTGTACTTTGTTTTGAATCAAAAGGCAAAACACTAGCTTTTGGGCATATACCTCAACAACTTAAGGTCATGACCTTGTGTATCGTCAAAATTGAATTGTACGGCCGATAATGTTAAATTTGCTAGACAAGGTTAGCGGAGGATTCACTTTTTCTGAATTGTGTCCAGGAAAGAAAGAGCATTCTTGCTTAAGGAGATTTATGATTCTTGTAATGTTTCATGTATGCCTGAAGGACGATAGCATTAGATAATGATTAGAGAAGTAGTCAAGGAGTGCTCTCTTGTCAGTGCCTGCTGAAATGTGTTGTTAAAAGGATCAACAGAAAAGTATTCACTGTCGCATGCTGTGAGGAGTTTCACAACCACAAAAAAGTTTTCACGAATTTTGCCTGTACTTTAGCAGTAAATAAATTCGAGAAATAAATAGTTCAGTAAGTCTTCGACATTGATGCTGACTTCGTTAATTTACCTGGACACACTAGCTGAAGGCGTTCGACCACACATCCATAATGGATGGTGATTGGGTATATCGTAAGTCAAATCCTCACGACAACTAGCTAGCATAGTTCACTCACTTTTCGAAATACCGACTGCTATTCAAATATAACTTCGAATTCCTTCATTCCTGACTTCTGGTATGACTGGATTTGAGATTCTTTAATTATGAAGGCCCAACAAAAGTCAACCACAATGGTATTCTACAACAGGAACAATTTTTCAATCTGGGGAGTAATTCAGTTCATGCTACTAACGACTCGATAACTTTGTAGCGGTAAATAAATCCCCAAAATATATAGCTGTGTAAATCATCGACATTTGATGCTGACCGCATTAGTTTTAATGGACTCACCTAGCTGAAGGCACTCGGTCACGCATTCACATCAGATCAGTATTGGATGCCCTTTGTTTTGCCTTTCCTGCAACTGCTAACCAGCTTAGATTAGTCACTTCTCGATATATCGAACTCCGAATACTTGTGGCTTGTTTAGCTATTATCTTACTAACCTGTCATTTGGAATACTCATGTAGGCGTAATTTTCTTTATATACGCAAACAGCATTAGTAATTTCGCTAGTCTCCCGAAGTCTATAGCGATATTCGGGGGTTGAGCGCTCCCACCTTTGACTGCTTTCCTTATACTTTACACTTTATACTCCGTATGCTCATGAATTTCAAGAATATTCTGTGCAGTTTTAAGACGTGAAATTGAAAATGAAAACTAGTTAATAAGTATAGGGAGACATGAAATACATTAAAAGAAACATATCAGTTACGCTGTTTAAGCATAATGTTTCAGTAGCATCTTCATTATTTACGTAATCATGGCTGGTACTATTATTCTCTTCCGTTATAAAGAAGAACATTAACACGCACAACTGTAATGTATCAGTTTATTGTAGATGATTTCCTACTAATCTTGTTCATGCAATTACGACCTATGAGATAAAGAAATTGTGAGCCATTTCCAGAATTGTGTGTTTCGAGTTAAATTCAAAAACTGTATATATTTGCATATATGTATATATTATCCAGCCGATTCTCCCTATGGCTTAACTATGAATTGACTGTTCACTTGATTTTCCAAAAAAATTTGTGAGGAATGAAATATAGGAATTTGTCTTTAAAGTTTCTTGCTTGAGGATCATTTTGTGCATCTTATTTAGCCTAGAAGCTGGCTTGGTACATGTGCAGCACAATTCTACGTTCAGAATATTAAACGCAGAGATTATGTGATGATTGGTAGTATTTGAATTATTGTACGAACTAGTAATTTCCGAAACAACGCAATCCAAGCCACAAATAACTGGGTGAGCACAAACGAATGTATCGTGTTTACAATTCAAAACCAGGCAGTCATCAAGAGCAAAAGAATCATTAGTTTATACAAGCGCCACATATTACCCAAGTACGGTCATAAAATTAAATACATTTAACGTCTTTGATTAAAATGTCTAATTTAATCGTCAATGTGAGGGAAAAACGGACGACACTTGCTCTTTAGATTAGCATAGAAAAATATTTTTCACAGGATTTTAGTCACCAATCCTATTCACTCAGTTAGGTAATCAAATTTCCAACAGCAATACACGTTTCCAACAAACGAGGAACGTTATTGGTTCCTCGTAATAATTGTGAAACCAGTCAATCAAATATTAGCAATCAATAAAACAGTTAATAAAGATGGTAGCCACTGAAATCCAGTGACTGAATAAGAAATAACTAAGACAGTAAGAGAAAAGCCGAAAAACAAAATTACAGGCAAAATTAATGATGGTAATTTTATATCAACCAAAAAAAACGAAGTGAATATGTAAGGATAAAGACATAAAAAATTCCAAGTTAACACAGTGTACATATTTTATATGTAAATATCTTACTATACTCAAACATTTTTGTTCTGATGAGCAGTGGAGGCGTTTGTTAATATTCTGACGATTTCTAGAATTTGATCGCTGCTACCAAGTTCAAAACACTGGAGAGTGGAAGCATATCTCTCATACAAGACAAAAAATTCTGTCTACAATGGTACACGAGCAGCATTGTAGAAATATGTATAAATTTAGCATCCATATACTAAGGTCGATAGATCTAGTGTCTTCAGGTATTCTTTATTGTATATGAATTTAAGAATAAAAATGATGCCTTAGTTCCTCAGTGAATCCATTATACTTACTCCGGTTACGCTCAGTAACCAAGCTTGTGTCCTGGCGCGATCTCGGTATTATTTCGATACCACGAGATCGCCAGCAAATATATCTCGACTTGGTTCATTAACTGCCTTCTGATATTTGGCTTCCGGGGGATTTTATAGATATCCTGGCACGCGTTCCTTTATAGTGATGTCTACCGCGACTCGGCACCACGCTACAAGCTAACTGGTTTAACCTTGAGGCTGGAAATACGTGAGTCCGAATTGAAACTAACTGCCTTGGATAGAGAGACGAAAATCTATTCTATCGCCTGATTGACTGACAAGCAAGCGAGAAAACGAGTCAACTGGGACAGTACTCGATTAACTCTTGATTCCGATTCCAAATTTCAATTCAGTTTGGTGTAAAAAGATACAGTAATAAATAAATGACTAAAATGACAGCAAAGTACAAGCAATTAAAAAAACACAATTAAGTCCAAACTCGGCATTAGTGTAGAGAAATAGAGTACCCGAGGTTACATTTAAGCTACAATAGATTTAAAACAGAAAAGAATATGGCAGTGAATCATACATCAAACCAAAGCTTATTGTCTGTAGAATAAACTGGGATTCAAACTAAATGTTAGTGTTTAACAAGCTTTGAATTAAGTGAAATAACGTCCCCAAAATAACTTCCGTTGTTCGTCATAGCTTTTTTGTTTCTCTGTTCACATCAGAAACTCACATTATACTTGTTTCGAAATAATTTCTTCTATCTATTCAGTACTGCATACTGAACAAACTTTTATTATATTTTGACCATTAATTAAGTTCTATGATATAGTGAAGAGTCTGTTTAACTGTCAAAGAACTTTACTAATTATCCTAGATCATAGTCAATTCCTTTATGATTGTATTACCAGAGTAATGTTCTATGATATATGAGGTTGTAAAATAACTAATATATGAAATAAATCACTTCAGAAGATTCGTACTGAAGTCTTTTACTTCGAATAATTGTGTAAAATATTCATAATTTTCATTCTCCCCAGTGTTTCCAGTTTGTATTAATATTGGGGATTTATTATCATGTGTTTTTTAATTTTCTCGTTGAATACTGATCATTTCCATTGAAGCAATTTTTTATTTCTGAAAATTTTTAAGTCGTTCTGACTAGTGGTACTTCACATAAAACTGTTTCATGTTTTTCATTGAAGATTTATCATGGAACTTTTAATATTTTTGTTCACGTTTATCTACTATTATTCTGATGATAGAAGAAAGTTTGAGATGAGATTACTATCATTCAGTGGACTAAAAGTGTTTCTTTGTGTTTTTTTGGTTTGAATCTTTATATTGAAATAACATTTTGAGATCTGAAAAATTCCTATAAAATCACATTATAGTGGTCCGAGATCTGATTCCAGTTAGATCGTATGAATGATTGTTGTTAAAATATACGTCCTTTATATCCTCGTATATAATCATCGACTTAACTCGGGTTAATGAATAACGGAATTAACAAAGTCAAATATGAGAATGGATTTCGAATACATATATTTCTTACAATCATTGATCCAAACAAACGATCAGAGAAACGAAACGAAGAAGAAAAGAGCGAAGCGAAATGACGTGCGGTGGACAAGGCATATAAACCAGTTTGATTTAACTAAATGCGAATCGATATTTATAGTCGAACAGAAATAAGTTACAGACATGTGATGAATAGAGTAAACGCACACATATATGCTCATATAGTAAGCAAATAATTAACAAGATCAAAATATGACTCAAGAAGGATTAATAAACTGGTCTATTCGAAAGCTAGAATAAACTATGTGAACTTAACATAGCAATTGATACTACAACATAAGTTGAAATACACCGATTAATATAAAGATTAATAGATGAATAATGATTTCTTTGTAAACGATTCAAAATATAACATTTATCTTTTGGAGATTTACTGAAACACATTATAATTAATTGTTTTGTATAAATAAATAAATAAATATTTTGCATTATTTTGTTAGTTTAATAGTTTGTTTTTACTTAATGTAACTAAAATAAATTAAACTATTAATGTTATTTAATTATTCTAAACATGAATTTCTAGCATGAGCAGATTTGTTAGTTCCTTTATAAAAATAGGTTATTGAAAATTCTGTTTCTTGAAAGGTCTTTCTAGAATTTAAGTTGAATAAATGAAATGTAATAGCATTATTCTTGCTTAAACCTAGCATAGATGACAAAACATATCGCATATACTTTGCCTATCATAATTTCTTTGAAATGTTAGTTTGTCAACAGAAACTTGTCAATTCAGTTTCTGTGATAGCTAACAGTCACCTGCAAGAAGTATTTGAAATCTTGAGACAATTGATGTTTGCTGAGTTACCTAGTGTTACTGTCGGAAACGTTAATATTGAATTAATTAGGCAGTGACTGTCTCCCTATGGCACTGAGATTTTAAACAGGTTTGAATCCTGATAACTCCTTACAACACCCTAGAAACTTAGCATAGTACACGGGATTTCGAGTCAATTACGCTAGTTGTCACACTAAAACTTGATCTGCATCATTTATTATGAATTATACTGGCATATATTTATTTATAATTCACTGATCGATCGGTAACAAATATTCATATGTTCGATATACGCAGAGATAATAATCTAACAATTACATTAATTTCGCTTATCAAATTATGCGACTTCTTAGCTTTGGAAACCCGGAAAGCATATTGTTTGTCAATTTCATGAATGACATAGTCTTTTGTTTTTACCAGTTCACTTAATTTCGTTTATTGATTAAGTTTTATTCGAATTTTATTGTTTAATTTTATAATCACTTAGTGTCATAGTCTACACGAGGAGTTATTCCACATCTAACTGTGCGAATCCTGTTGTTACTGCTCTTTTGGAAATTATCAAGAAAACGATATTTCGTTAATTATTAACACTTTATTTTCATGAAAGTGTCTCTTATATAGAAGAATACATTTGTTAAGTTGTCATCTGAATGAGATTGCTTACATCAACAATGTTATTAATTTTCGACTCTAAGAAAGCTAAAGTCCTATTTAGGACTTATCATCTGGATGTACTTGCATCCCAGAGTTGATTTTACTCCGGGACTACGAACCCAGAACCGTTCTCTTCAAACGCCATCGTGTTATCCACTCGGCTACTGAGTCCTGATAGACACATGCAGCTGACGAGTCCCAAGTAGGACGAAACGTGGATCCTGGATTCCAACGTATGCCACTATTTATCTTTGTTTATAAAGCTTGTGACTTAAAACGATTCGCATAGGATGCATATATGCCGATAAGAGACTGTGCAATTGCAGTTTTAAACAGTTTAGTAACTTCAAATAATGCAATGAGTAAACTAATTTCAACAGAATTATGTAATATATTAGCGTAGTATATTGTTCGACATACATTATAATCGTATAGCTCATAGTTCTGGTAAACTTCGTTTTTTCATTGCATTATTTTTAAAAAATGTTAATAGTGTAATTCGTGTCAACAAATACGGGAAATACATCGTTACAGAAAACGTAGCAAGGGGTTTACTTGTGTATTCTAGAAACCTCGTGCACAAACGATACAGCTTTATTTTTCAACGACGAATTTTACGACTAAACATGAATTGGTAAGTAATTTGTGAGTTTCTGACAGTAAATAATCTGATAATTCCCTTAACCGCTGGAAATTCGCAATATATTAAAACACAATTATATGAATGAAGAAAATTCTTCTCAACAATTTCTCACCGGGTTCTGAAATCATAAATCTAAATTAATAATCCATAAAATTGGCCAGATTTAAGGCAGAGTACATCATTTAAAGTTGTAATATGCGAACCAATAATTGATTGTTACATAAAATAAAATAAAATCGTTGATGTCGGAGCTGACTAACATGAAGTGTTAACCTGAATTCGTTTATAAGTGAAACGAAATTGTGAGATAATTTATCAGAATAAATTTGGTCAACATGGGGTGTGGAAGAGAGAATAATGGAATAAAAATCAGAAATTACGTAATATGTAGAATAGTATGAATCAGGTTAAATAAAGTAGATAGGGTTGGATGCTGAATAAATTTCTTAAAAAGGTTATCAAGTGTAATAATAATAATAATGTTTGGAACATAAAAATGAACATTAATCATATCATGTCACTGTGTTCTAAAATTGATTAACTAGTTGGCCAGGGTAAAAAAGCGGGTCTAGGTTTTCGATCCGAATAGCAATTGCTTCAGCCGTCTGCAAGATTCTCAGTCTGACGGAATTAGGTAGGCTGCTGTTAACACTATATATTATTGCGAAAGATTGCTCCATGTTGGCTGTATTTCCCATCTGAATTAAACGTGTTAAAATGGAGCTGTTAACGGTTTTGACTACATCTTTTCATTTCACTTATAAACTGATTCAAGTTAACATTTCACATCAGTAAGCTCCGACATTAACGATTTTATATTATTTTATCTCACTAACAATCTTAAATTCACATATTACAATTTTTAAATGATGTACTGTGCCTTAAGTCTGGGCAATTTTATGGATTATTAATTGCGTTAACATATTTTGTAGATTAGATTCAACTTTGAACCCGTGAACCTCATCACGTGAATTAAAAGTACTCACGATACAACAGAATTTGACAATCTTTGTATCTGGCTGCTTCAAGATATCCTGAACACAAACAAGGAAGATGATAATCATTGAAAGAAGCAATATGTTCGAGCAGACGTATAGAGTTGAACGTCAAACTATTACCTTAACCACTAAGGAAAGAAGAATGTCAAATGAATTTTACCCAGACATGACCATGATCCTTGACCGAGTGTTGTCACCTGACAATATCTGTTAAAACTAATGTTAGAATAAGCGTCGAAAGTCTCCATAGTTACGCCACACAACAATACGAATAACACGCGAGTTTTAACTAATCGACTAGTTTTCCTTTCGGAGTATCAATGAGCCATATATGAAACTTGAAATGTTTAGTGAACGAGTAACTCTAAGATATCAATTTAGACTGACATTAAAATTAATTGACAATCTGTTCTTGCTGCAGAATGACTTCAACTTAACGAAATTGGACTTATTATACATAATTCAACCACATAAACTTGTTTCGCAATGTTTGTTTCAAACCAAGATTTTGTTAATGATTTTAGGGCTTTGGTTGACTAATCGGTTGAATAATATTCTTAGAGTAAATAAGGTGATTGAAGTGATAATTTGTTTCAGAGGTCGATATCTATGTGTATAAATAAATATATTAAGAGTGACTATAACTGTTCGACTAAGTAAATATGGATGGAAGATTAAAACAGCCACCTATCCAAATAATATTTAAAAAACAATAGCTAGTCAAACTGATATGGAAATGAAACGAGTATCTTAAAATCACCAACTATTTCTAATTTCTGTCCTTCAGAATACATACTTAATAGACATTACATTCTTGTATCTTTCTGCATATTAATTTCTGAATATATGTTATAAAATTGGAAACATGGTAGGAGCTGATGAATTGCAGAACAATATATTACATTTAACCAAAGCGAAATAACTACCGATACTATTCATCAAAAACATAATGAGTGCTGCGTTGCAGGTTGTATACAAGTTGTTAGGTGTGACTATGCTATAAATATTATTTTCTATAAGTAATGTGAACCAAACATCGGACTAATATCGATAAAAATGACAACTTCATAAAGAAAAATTTAATAACTTTCATAACATTTGTTACATTCAAACATGAAAAGATAAAAAAATCTAAAAAGTAAACAATAGGTGGGATTTACAGGGGAAATGCATTAGAAAAGCACTAACATTCATGTTCTGTGCCTCAAGCAATACTGAACATAATCATCAACCAACTTTGCAATACGTTCATCAGTAACCTTATGAGATGGTTTGTTGATAATCTATAAGCAAACAAAACAGAAAAGACAAATGACAATCACAAAATATAACTGGAGAAAAAATCTCAATTGTGTAAATTAATTTTGGTAAACAATATCAACAAGGATGATCATGACATAAATTCATACACTAGAGGAGTTTAAATCTTTAAACACCCTGTTTAACAGAATAGTTAACATTGTTAGAAAAATCCCTATTCACGAATAACTAGAATTATTGAGAAACGAACAGATTCTTAAAGCGTTCAGTATAAGTTTTAATACTGTATAGACTACGATTACAAAGGACAAGGACACAATAGATCGCCTAAATGTATTCACTTATTAGATCTTTAATTAGATGAGAAAAGTTTAGCTACCATTCATTTTAAACCAAACAAATAGACAAAATTAATTTTGACAAATCTAACTTCGGTAGCTATCCTTATTTTAGTTCGTTATTTTCAGAAATTAATCTATGGTATTCAAAAGTCAAGTATTGTAAATACATTTTACGGTATTCAAAAAGCTTTTCAAATATCTAGGGAACAAGAAAGTCGACAAAATAAGACACTATGCAAATCTTGTTGACAACATTGAAATGTCAGTATTATAAAAACAGGAAAGTACAGAAGTACATGAAAAAAGTACGATTACCTTGCTCAAGGAACGTTGAAAAATATTACGACAAGTTTCTTTGTCTATTCTGTGAGAAGAGACATATGCCTTTAAATGATGTTTCAAGGTAGACTTTACTCTTTGCAGAGATTCAGAGCTCCAATTACAATGTGAAGGATTAACTTCACTTGGACAACTGTGAGATGTTGATGGGATAGGATTATTGATAACAGAACATTTTGCAGGTGTATTGTTATAATGTTTTACTTCAGAGTTTGTATTTGAATTTGAGGATATGAGAGGCTTGGAGACAAAAGATACACCATCTGATGTAGAAGGAGAAGAGATGGAGTTAACTGTAGACAGAGAGGGGAATTTATTGTTTACTGAGTTCGCTATATTGACCTTATTTGTGGAAAGTGATGGGACCTTGGCTACCGGAATAGGCGACATAGAATGATCCGGATTTACTTGCATATGACGAGTAGAAAAGCGGAACAATGATGCCTGTCCAGCTTCTATGTCACTGAGATAAGTTGATGATCGAGGATTCGGTTGAGAAATAGAATTGCTTGAACTGAAGTTAAAACGGATAAAGGTTTAACAAACTCATATGAAATAACACAATTCAAGTACGTTAAAGCAATTCGAGAAAAATGAACTAACAACCAGAAAATGTAGATGAAAATACTAAAAGTTAACACCGGATTATGCGAACTGGATTTTTAATCCACCAGACTGAAACTTATTCCGTATACACAGAACATGACTAGAGAAAGGGATAACTGTAGTCCAATAAACATTTAGTAGTCATGTGAACAACGTGGATTATAAGCATCCATAAAGAACACAATCTCCACATACAAACAGAAAGCATAGTGGCGTTGAAAAATTGGTTAAAACACCACTTCAAACTGAAACATACAAAAACCCAGTAGCACTAATAATAAAGTAACAATAGTTTTAAGAAACAATTCAATTACAAAATGATTAGTAAAACCTCCAAAGGATGTTAATGAGGAAAAAGTTAATATACATCTGACGATTATATTGAGCTTAGCCAATAAATTATGAAAGAATGAAAGTTGAAATCTATGATATTTAATGTTTTTATTAGCGATTACAGAATGATAAATGAATTCCAGTGTTAATATGCCACGAAATTGTAGTAGCTGAAGTGCAGTAAACAGCATCAATAAGAAAATTTAAATAATAATTAATACCGTCTGTAAGTCAAATGTCTAACTAAAAGTTCTGAATTTTTAAAAAGTACTATGAGACATAAAAACACGTGTGGACTTTCGAAAATTACTATTAGTGTTGAACCTCGAAATAGTAACTGGAAAAAAGTTACAAAACTATTTATCGGAAACTAGAGTTTATGCGTTAAGAAATGCTCTTACTTATACAAAACTATGAACATAAGTTACGTAAGAAGCTTAATCTGAAATAGGTATATTTCAGAAATTGTCTAAACATGAAAGCAATATTGATTGAAAAACGAAGTTCGAAATTCACTGGACATTCAATGGACACTTAATGATTTCTAAACGTAGTGTTTCTATCCGTCACAACGAAAATGGTTGGTACTAAAGTAAGCACGTGTACTTCGTTATTTGGTAAATAAAGTAAATTTTCCGTCACCTGTGGAGACTGAGTATATGCAAACAGATTTATTATTTTATTATTTATTATTTATTTTAACACATAGATATTGGTACAAGGAGGCACCAAATAGATATGCGCCACATAAACCATTCGATTTGTGTGAGGGCTGTGATACTGTCCGGGTGCCCAGACCGAAACAAGTAGTTTTCTTAGAGGACCACACCCCGAGCCTTTGACTTTAAGATCTGACCCACAAGGCAGTGGAGCATCGTGAGGAGATGCGGTCCCATGGTAGCCGGTAACGAACGATTGGTTCATACGCCATTTGTTCCCTCAGGATACTGGAGCCCATGCGCACCATTGGTTTGGAATCCGGTTAAAGCGCCGGACATTCGCTTTTCGTCCTCTCAATTTCGTAAACAACACCCCCGCCACGCGAAGGCAATGAGTCGGACTTCCCTGGCAGAGGCTGTATACGCGTGGCCATGTAAGAGCATTTAGAAAGAGAGGGAGGGCCCACCCCACTCTCGGCCATACCAGGGCAGAACTTTGTGATGAGTCATCGATAAGGAGAAAGCAATTGATATAATGTCTATTAAGAAACAATAACATTTAACAGAAATTATATTTTCTGAAATTGTAAAGCCTTTAATTAAATAGTTTCTAATGTTTACAAAAATATACTAATAGTGCCATCTCGTAATTAAGTACTTTAATGCAACCTAGTGACCAATTGAAAGCTGTGTATTCGTCTTCAAACCACACATTTTTATGTGACGCCTATCCGAGTTCACGAACTCAATTAGTGAGACAGGATTCGAACCTATGCCTGGACAGTTGGAAATCAAGTGATTTACAGATGAACAACAGACTGTTAAAGAAAAATATATGAGCGGTTGAAGAGTTTACACTCTTCATTGGAACCACACCCAGACATTTGTATGCAACAAGGAAAATGTTTTTGATCCCCAGTATAACGCTTAATCTCAAGGTTTAGATGGTTTTGGCGGGTTACCGTTTTGACTCGGTATGAATTTTACATTTGTCTTGATAACAACTACTAGTGTATAACCTTAAAATATGTTATGAGAAGGCATTTAATAACATGGCTAACAGTTTGCAATCAGTAAGGGATGAATTTATCCAAGATACGTACAAATAAGAGGAAAATGATATAATTAATATTATTACGCTTAACGACTGATAATTACAGATACTGTTAGCACATTCAATAACGCAACATGTTGAAACCCAGTTGACCGAGATTTCTATAGGTTAAGTCAGTTTAGAAGGAGTACTAATCCTAGAAAAATAAAATGGAGACGCGACAAAATCGTAGCTATTTCTGAACATTTGTTAAAACCTGTCACCAAAAAACTACGATCAACATATATTTTTCAACAACATCAATGGTAGTTGAAAGAAACGTTGAACAACGTTTTAATGCATGAAAAAATAAACGTATTTGAAAACATCACACGATGATCCTTTAGCTATTCGAGTTACTGATACTTTATTTTCTAGAGCTTTTACCCAAGGGAAACTATAAAGAACCACTCATTAACCATTTACATCCAAATTTTAGACTTTAAATAACTTAGCAGTAATTGAATGAAATACAATACATAAATCTAAACTTACATGGAACTAGTAGTTATGATAGGTAGAGAAGGTACGATTGATGCTTTATCGTCATCTTCGTCAACCAAAAGTCTAAAACTAAAAAATATGCAAGAACGATTATCTGTGTGCAAATAGAAGCTAAAAGATGATACATGTTAACGATAAATCAAACGTTTGGTCGGTTTTAGTAACTACGTGTGTTTCTAACAGATTCCCATCAGTCTTCAGGAGAAATACCTCACAAGTTTTTAGTCAAGTAAACTAAATCTCACGTAAAATGTTACAAAACTAGGTAGACGTTATTTGATATTTTTCTAGGGACGGGAGAGCATGATTGGGGAAAAATAAACTAGTAAACAGTAAGTATAACAATACATAATTTCGAACTAAAAACTTTGTGGAACAACCTAATCTACTATATCTTCTTATACGATCTCAACTATGGAGCCTTCAATGAATGAATTTACTCTTTACACAACACATCTAGAGATTACAGAAACAGATACAACATACTACAGCCAATACTAAATGTAAGAAGTTAATGTAAAATGCACTGTAGTTAAATTGCTTTTTCTAAAGACGATATCACTAAAATTTACAGCTAGGCAAATTTGTATATATATATATATATATATATATATATATATATATATATATATATATATATATATATATATATATATATATATATATATAAACAACCGACTTCTAAACACTGGTGACTTGTAAGCTCTAATTACTGTATAATTTAAAGATCAAACGATCTGATTAACTGAGAGTGTATGTGTATTCAGACGAATATTTAGCTCCAGAATTGGTGTTAAGTAATGCCAAAATGATTAGGTTATACAAATGGATTGCTAAAAAAAACCTACTCGCATTGTGATTCTTTACCCAAAATTGATAACTTAGGTAGACTAGATCCTATCAAGCCATTTCGAACTCGAAGTTGGGAAGAAGTTGATGGTTTCGGGCTAACAGACGATAGGGACGAGGAGAGTTTCCGCTAAATGTGCAAACAACGTACATAATATCATTTAGAACACTTTGAAATCGATAAATATGTACAAAGATCACACAAATAGAATTATTCTAGCTATTATTTGTACAGTATAAACTAAAAACGTTTTATATTTCCGAAGCTTCAAAATCCACTGGAATTTCAATTTAGCTTTAAAACACTAAGGACAAATTAACTATTATTTACCAGATATAGACTCATGTACTTCGAGTTACAAAATAAATGTGAGGGTTAGCAATGCTACCCCGTCTTTTCAAACAAATTAGATAGATCAAGGCTTGAAACCACAACTTGAGCAGAAAGTTGGACGCCTTGACCGCCGAGCCCCCGACTCAACTTCAACTTCAGTGATCCGTAGTGTAATGTTGAAGGTAAACCGACTAAAAGCCTATGGTACGCCTATAATCTCCGTGTGATGTAAAATGTGAAAATCTTAATCAAAGCGTTTTGGGAGAGATTCTACATAGCCGAGTTTATCACTGTATCTTGGTATTATTCGTTTAACTTTTGAGTTATGGATGTCGATCGGAATTATTCGTCGTACATTGACAGAAAACAAAAGATCGACTGTATGTATAGTTTTTTCATAAGAATGTAAGCTAAAATAATTTTCTATTACCAATATATATTAGTAAGTATTAAATGTAAACTGACCGCTCAGAAGAATGTAAAGATATACTTTCTTAAGATTTACTCAACCTACTGTAGAAACAACAGCATAAGTCATATACATACCAAGTGATTCGATCTGTGAAACTTTGAACTAATACGTGCAACAAGATTCCTAGCACGATAAATAAAGAAATCCATAAAAAATGTCTGTGAAATCGCCAGAATTCTTAAAATAAAAACTCGAAACTGATCTTCAAGAAAATTCATACCACTTTACGTGTTTATGTTTACTGAGTCGTCATAGTATAAGTAATAAAATAGAGAGTAAATAAAAAATTGAGGTTTGATGTCCAATTACTTAACATCTCATTTTGTTGCATAAAAGCTTGGAGACGAGTACATCCATACGACTCTGGTATAATTTAATTTAATCAAGTGTGTTAAACCTCATTTGTTCAAATAACCAAAGTGGGCTGAAATTTAATGCATGATTCGAACAAACCACTTCTGTTCTACCTGAACACTACAATACTGAATAGTGATGGACTAACTTTCTCATTTGATGATAAATCTTTATTGAGAACCAACGACGAATATCGTCGCACAGTTGAGACGAAATTTGTAGTATGCCGATAATTATTTCTTAAACAATACATACATCAGTATATTTGTTTAACTCACTATTTTTTTACGCATTGTTTTGTTTCTCGAACGCTTAAATGTTCTAGATTTGAGTGACCTTTTCTTGACACGTTTGCCTTTCGCTTTTTTAGATAAGCGTCTTTTGGTTTTTCTCGTTGTTTTACTCTTTTTCGGTGGGTTTTTCACAGCAGGAACAAAAGTTTCATCGAAATTAGAATTTTCTGAATCGGATTTACTGTGAGTAACTTCAAATGTAGAATCTTGAATGAAATCCATGTGAGAAGACTCCGAAGTCCTACTTATGCATACATCCCCATTAAGACTGGTAGTACTCGTTTGGATGACAGTATTGCCTTCCTGAACTCCATTGGAATCGTGCGAAGATGACGGGCCCGCTAAAACAGGAAACTCTTCCACTTCTGACTCACTAGGAGATCGTAGTAATCGAGAACGGTGACCAGTAAGTTTTGTGTTACGAAGTATAACTCCATTCTGATCATCTGAATCCGAATCACTGCTGGATAGTATACGCAGTCTTTTACGGGATGGCTGGATGAGAACAAAAGTATAATCACAAAAATAATAATAGAGGTATGAGTTAGGAAATAATCACAAACCAGATAAGATGCTTAAAATCAATGCTGTGAATGTAACAGTTTATACAGGTACCTTACTTCCTTAAAAACATTTTTTTAAACTAAATATATTACCAAACACTGATGACATCAAATGATGTTTTTTTGAAACAAACAAGATCTAGAAACACCTCGATAGTATTTCAGAGGCGAAAGAGAACCTGAATTTTACAGGTGCCGTTTCTGAAATCATGCTTTATTAAGTTATAAATGATTTCAAAGCAAGAAACAATTTAGCTTGGTTTTCTCTGCATGGACAATTATCACTAGACGTACGTAATTTTTCCTCAATCTCACTATTGGTAATCAAACAGTTCACTAAGTGCGTTTATGCATTGTGGTGTACCATGGTGCAAGGGCATCTTGAAATATTACTTCAAAAGAATATATACACGGTAAAATCGCGTTGTTATCATCATGAATAATCTCTGCAGATTGTCACGATAATAAAAACCATGGCTGAAAATGTGCAGTGGCTTTCAATAATCAACATCTGGAAGTAAACGTTTTACCACTTTTTCTACAGCATATAATGCCCAGTTATCCACCAAGGAGAATCAGTCCATGTTCTACTTTATTGTGCGCCTAGATCATTTACTCTTGAAACTCTCACTTACTGGTGTTTAATTTAGATCGAAAACGGAGAAATATCAGCTGTATTCACAACCATTAAGAGATGTGGATTAGTACCCACCAAGATGTTTTTATACCATACTATGAGCCACACATGTTTTAAGTTTCAACAAAACCACCCTATCTCCAAGACTGTCACTGGATTTAATTTGAACCTATACTTGAGGAGTTGCATCACCATAACTTATTGATTGGTTCTCATATAGGAAGACTTACAACTGCTCAATATAGTTCTACTAGGTCAGTACAAAACATCAAACCGAATAACATGACAATTTTTACTTAGCTTATTTTACCACTATTTTACTCTGCCCCCTCTACAACAAGTTATGTGCAAAATATTTTTTGTCGTACCAGGTCTACTAAATGAATCAATTTTTTTGAAATTAAAATGAATTAAACAGATAGTTAATTGAAAAGAAAACCCCTTTGATATCAACTAAAGCTGAGTTTGCCATTTCTCACCAATTCAGGTTTCTTTTCCAAAAAACGACATATTAGCTATTGGTACTATTTGAATGACATATTAGATAAAAATTTTCTAAAATGAGACTAGGTTTCTCACCGATTCAAAAACCTTTTTTGTGATAACAAACTACTAAAATCACAATTCAAAGTAAAAAAGATAAACTATTTTCTAAATATTACCTCTGACTGACCATGACCTGATACTTGTCCATTACATTCTGACCGAACAATATTATGCATCTGGCTTCTGTGGTGAGAGTTCGAATAACTTGGAGGACGCCCCAACCGGATACTGACAGGTTGACTTGTCTAAGAAAAAAAACTAATAACTAATAACACCGCATACGAATAAAATTATGGTTAAGTTTTATGGTAGAAAAAACGTACAATAGTTTTGTTTAATGAAAACAGCTTACCGAAGATGATATTTCGAAACAGATTGTCGTCTGACTGTTAGCTGGACCAGATGGACTTAAACTAGTAGATTCTGATGCAAGCTGATTTTGAACACGTTGTCGTTGACTACGACGGCGTCGCGCTCGAACAGAGGCCTCTGATGTTATTCGTTCACTTAGGTCAGCGATTAAATCCTGTAATAACCGACGTCCACGATGACGTCTAGTAGCCTGCTCTTCAAGTCTCCTTTGAGCAGCAAAACTAAGCTCACGTGTTAAATGGAGGTTTTCTGAACTAGAATCTAAGGAAGTGTTCAATTCATCGTGCTCACTCTCCTCTGCCTCAGAATCAATTAACCTTCTCCGAATACTTCTTCGAACACGTCTATTAATAGCTGTTGTTGGCGCGACATCGGTAGCAATTATTTCGGGCGGGACAACCCCCTGTCGAAGACATTCTGGACAAAACCAGTCTCCATCTGGGATGGATGAGAGTGGGGTTGGGAGACAGTAAGTATGATACCCTCTATCACAGTGATCACATAAAAGCAAGTGTGCTTCATCATCTGGACGATGACATACCTCACAGTTAACGTCCAATTCCAATGGTGGTGTTTCTGAAGGCTGCTGTTTAACAGGTGGCGCATTAACCTATAGAAACCAGTAGGAAAATACGATGACATAATATCAACAAAAATATCATTAAAATAATAAGGCCATAACTATTTCTAAGCATATTTTGTGTCACTTCAGTGGGAGTGAAATTTTCTTGATAACAGATAAGTGACTAGGGGGCGTTTTTATGGTTCGTGCGGAAAATGACCGGATAAAAGTTGTTATCAGTTTGCAACTATATGTACGGCATATGATTTGGATTACATTTATGGAAATTCCACAGGAAGCAGACTTATTCGATTAAAAATGGACTAAAACCCTTTTTTACTGTTGAATTAACACGAAAACCCGGTAGAGCGTTAAAATACTTCTCCAGAGAAGGCCTTCATGGAATGATAAATGGAGGAGTTTCTGCAGCTGTGCTATCATTAACCGAATGATAAAGTCAATTATTTTGCTACAAGAATCCACAGTTCCTATGCTATAAAAAAGACAAATGTAATAAAATTACGCGTCTAAAGTAAGGGTAAACAGACCAAAACCGTCCTGGTGAATGACTGACCTCTGTATGAAATGTACATATTAACGTTGATGTATCTATAAATCTTAAGGATGACCTTAAGCTTCCTGGAAAGAATCTCCAAATCATCTTTATGACTAGTGTCTCCAATGGATGTAGAATCATCAACAACCTAAGGGGCAAGCTTTCGTAACTAACTAATGCTGGTTATTCATAAACAACGTAAGATCCGATGTGAACATTTATCAGTCTAAGTTGCCACATTATAACAACAAGAGGAAATAAACAAGATGGATAACAGTAATAATAATATGATAGTAAGGATAAAAGCGAATGGAAAGTATGGTTTGAACAGAGGAAATGAAAGTGACCAATGAAAGGTCTACAAAAAGATTAAGACCCAAGGTATGGGAGAAAACAAAAGCTGAATAAACCGATTTTGGGTTAACAGACTTAACACATACAACCGCTGATTAAGATTTTCCTGAGGATTCCAACCTGAAAAATTGCATTTTCAAACACAAATCATACAGCTGGTCAGTGACACCACAAAGTGATTTGATCAGTCTACGGTAATATAGATAAATCACGACTACACTCCGATATTAGGATACCACAAATCCATTATTTCCGAGTACCAACTACTCCAAAACACAAATCTTGTAAGGAAAACTCATATGGTAGTAACTAAATAATAATTTGCGTTCGAATGTCACTAGATACATATTATACTCAATGACTGTTAGCTAAGAAATTATCATACTGAATGGATTCAATTGTCTATACCGAAAAGTCAAATGAACGAAAAATCACAATGAACTAATCTACATGAGTGAAGGCGAACTTCAAATCATAATATGACTTCCGGATGGAATTCTAAGTTACACGCTATATTTTGTGATTTAGCATCTCTATGTCATTTGTTAGTGTGACTGCCTATCTTTTTCAACCAACCCTTGTACTATACAGCATTGTGTCGTCGTAAGGGGTAGTAGGGTATGGTTAATGTGTGTCCTAGCAGAAAGTCCATAAAAGTTCATATCATTAGGGATACTGGAAACATTTGCATTTCCCTAAAATTCACGGACCATGTCACACAGCTGTGGGTTAAAATAATCGCATCCAAAAAATTATCGTGTTATATATCCACTTGTTCTTGGGGAGCCAGGTCTGATTAGTTATTCAGAAGCAATTTAAAACGTGGCAGATATCCATAAGCTCACATTGCCACATAAAGTTTATTGGTTACCCGATGAGCACTTTATACGAGAGTTTAGTTAAATGGTTAAAATGGTTTGGCAGTGGATACAATCTAGGAATTAAGCTATACGAACACGTCACTAGGAGTCAACGGTTAGGTGGAAAGGCATTTCTAAAGACGGTTTGCAGACAGAGCACTTAAACACGGAGAATCCCGAACTGTGCACAAAAGAAGATTGTTTGACTATTTCTCTGAATAAGGTTGTAATATAGTCCCAAGAATTACCTTGTTTAATAATTTTTATTTATTTGAACACAAATATTGGTACGAGGGGGACACCAAAGACATATACGCCAAGCAAGCTACTTGATTTGTGTGTGGGCTGTGATACCGCCCGGGTGCTCAGACCAAAGTAGGTAGTATTCTCAGGGGGCCACACCCAGAGCCTTCGACCTAAAGGTCTGATCCACAGGGTAGCGAAGTAACGTCAAGAGATGGAATCCCATGGTAGCCGGTAAAAAACGATTGGTTGATAAGGTATTTAGTGCCTCAGGATCCTAGAGCCCATGTGCACCACTGGTTTGGAATCAGGGTTTCCCAACTCCCCATTGGGTCACCGAGTACAATGCAAGTAATTCTGGCCTATTATCAAAAGGTGTTTTCTTACAACTAAAAAACAAAAATCGTGACCTAAGATCTGGTGGCAATAATCATTAACCTTGAACGAAGACCAATCGAAACCGTAAGTGTCGTGAATGGCATACATGGTAAGTTAGTTATCTATTAAAGCCACATAAACCCATATACTAAAAGACACCGAAGTAAGACACACTGAGCAGTTGGCACACTAATGTGTTACTGAATCAACATGATTTACGAAAAAGAATACTCGAATAACCGATCACATATATGGCTTTATATATATATATATGGCTTTATATATTTTTTGACAAAAATACGACATACCCGCTTTATTATGGGGCCCCCAACCCAATCAGACAATAAAATCAGTTCATAAACGCCACGATCCAAAGGACATTCATGCCGTACACGTGACCACTCTTTTAGACATGTGTAGCAAAACGCATGATTGCATGATTCCGGAGTAGCAACAGGCTTTCGAATCCTCTCGCAACATATCGGGCATTGGTGGTTCTCTTTAAAGGACGTTACTGTGAAATTTACAGAACCAGGTGTCTTGCGGATTAATATTTCACTGAAGGATAAGGAACAACCAGAGACAGGACAGGCGAATCCCGAAGAACAGTCAAAATCACTAGCCCAATCCTCTAAGCAATTAATATGAAACATATGAGAGCATGATTTCGGTGTGCAGTTTTCGCCCTTTATACTTCCACGACATAATTCACACAAGTAGTCACTTTTCTTCAGGTTGAGGAAATCTAACATCTCAATGTAACTGAATAATCATATGTGACGCCGGTGAGTGCGATCGTGTAACGGCAAGTTCGATTTATCGATTCAATTTCTTCAATTGGTTTCCGAAGGGGATTGAAGGAATATAGTGGTGACCTGGTTCTAAAGAAATAAAAAAAATCTGATTCATCATTTTTTGCAGAACATTGTAGAGCAAGATTAACTTCAATATGGTGTCAGTCAAATAACGTTCATCCCACCTATAAAGAAAAGTGATCATATGGTCATCTTATTCAAGCTCATGACTGATATGACCTATCAAGCAGTTTTTCCTGCTCGCCCTGATTTATAGAAGGCGAATATTAAAGCGATCAACACTTTAATCTTGTCTTACTTGAAACTTGACTCAGATATATCAGTATAGAGGCATTGACTCATTTTCTGTATTTATACCACCAAATAACCCGACCATTTATACCCTCGATAGCCTTAAAAAGGAAGAAGCTCGGTCAGTCATGGACAAACCAAGATATGTGATTATTACTACAACAAAAGTAGAAATGTCAGAACGTCGTCATCAGCATTGATACAGAAATACTATGGGATGATTCAAGATGGTCCGAAATAACTGTATAACCGCAATCCGGTTAGCTCAACGACAATGCAAATAGCGGTAAGCCAAAACTATATTAAAGCAGACAAGATGGCTGTTCATGTAGATACATCACAGAATACGGACGTATCATCAAATTTCCAACGTAAATAAAATGGGGAAACGATCTGTGAAATAATGGTTTAGGTCGGTATTAGTACGTTTAGATTTTCTACCATAACAATAGGCCTAATACCAAACCAGCAGATTTGTCATGATGTAACTACTTAATTTATAAGATTTAACGTGGAAATCACATCACTATCTATACCGACTCATCCTACTTGGCAATCAACAATATGATGTTTAGCAATTCTGAAGAATGCATTTGAGATGCGAAAAGAGTAATCTATTCAATGTGAGTAGAGATCTGTACAACTTGTCGCGAAGAATTTTTTTACGTTAAATCTATTGGATAAACTAAATTCTGAAGATAATCCAGACAAGTTTTCTTACTTTGCCACATGATTCACTTCCTAACATCCATATATATTTCATATAAACCCGACACGGATTAGCTCCACTGATCACGACTTCTCACTAGAACTCCGAGAATTCCCTAACGAAGCTAGTCACTAGTGAGCACATGTTAATTATCAGTATGTGGGTTGTGGAGATTGTTAAGTTTTTGGTTGAGATCAAACTACAACAAGTCATGCATAATGGCTTCTGGATATTATCATAAAGCATTGTCATGACTTGGCAATCACTTAATATGATCGATAAAGTTGGCGACATTAACAAAAACCCGGTCGATAGATTTTTCTATGGTATCATTACATAGCGTTGTTTTCTCATGGTTAGCTTTATGTTTTAATAATGATTTTAATATGTTTCGCTATTGGTTACTTATTCAGTAAACATCCTCAAACTTTGTCAGTCCAACTAGAAATTTCACGACACAATCGTAATCATCAGCATGACCAGTCGAGTAAACCACCTGAAAACTGGAAACATCACTGTCGAATTTACCTTAACACTGACTAAGGTTCAAGCTATAATCAAAAACATGAGTTGGGAGTTGTACTCCTCTTGGTTACAACTAATGCTCCCCTTGATAGACACATGAGCAGCACTCCCTGTTTATCATCCTCTCGACATTTATCCAGCAAAAGCATCGCACGACAACATGTAACCTATGTTTGTGGCACAAGCTTTTTCAACTTCAAAAGCTTGTAATCTCTGTATTCCAAATAATTTGACATCTACCTTGTACTTACAACCAACTTGCATGAAACATCACCCGGCAAGTATGAATGTAAATAATCAGTTTATTGCACATCAAATAAAGTCTGTCACGGATCCACTCATATTTAAATGAGTGATGTTAGCTATCTGTCCGAAATTAACATGTATTGGTAGTTGTCCTAAATCCTGTCACGGTTTAGCAATAACGAAGTCCATAAAATCACCCGGTCATTAAGTAGATCGAAGTCAACTTAACAAACTAACTGTGACACCAGTTGAGATTCTTCCGTTACACAATTATACTTCATACTCTCCAGTCAGCCTATTAATGAAAATCAACTCGTACGAATAGCGCACCGACGTGAACATTAACTGACTTTCTAACTCAAATCAAAGTTAATACCATTATCAGCCTTTCTATATATCATTGATCGTTTTCCTATGAATAATCACAAAATACCTGTACTGCCAATAAACTAAGCTTCTGATCAACGGTTATGGTTATGCATTATAATATGACTTGTAAGAATGTCCCAATGCTAAATCATTGTTCATTATCATCATTCCACCTCGTTTACCTCTTAAATAATCTTCATGTACATCTGCATTTTAGGCATTTCAGGAATTAAACAAAACGTGCCGGAATTATTACGCGTATTTCCTAATCAATTGCTACCACCTTCTTCTTGATTTATCTTCCTGTTTATCAAAACCCGGAGGATTCACAATGTTCTTTTGATAAACTTCGACGCTCGACAATCACTACAGTTGGTGTCGAATCAACGTAACGTTGAATTTCGCGAGATAGTAGTGTAGTGGCATTGGTTCGTAATCACACGATCTTCGAAGGTGATCCTTTAACTTCTGGGAAGATTTATGTTCAACATGTAACACTACGAAAAAGTAAAACATTGTAGACTCTGGAAAAATAAGCTAAAATAGCTTAGGTTGGTCATGTAGGCGCTGTCATTTTGAGTAACCATTGCTTATTATATCAAATATTACACTGTTTTCCCAGCTCAAATGCATTCTTCAGAATTGCTAAACATCATATTGTTGATTGCCACGTAGGACGAGTCGGTATCGACACTGATGTGATTTCCACGTAAAATCTTATAGATTAAGTAGTTGCAAATCTGCAAGTTTGGGATTAGGTCTATTTTGCGGTAGCGAAGATAAATGTACTAATATCAGCTTGGGCGTAATTCCGCGAATGGACACTTACCAAGTTAGGTGCTAATATGCTTATTAAACTATAAGAATTACGGTAAAATCCAAACTTTGAGACTGAGTTTAGGCTGCAATCATTTGTATAATAGGTGCCTCGGTTATTTTGGAAGGCATACAGGAGCAAGCTACCCGTGTAATTCCAGAACTCCGGGGCGCATCATAGAAGGAATGGCTAGAACGACTAGGCCTCTTTACTGCTTTCTACAGCAGATTAAGAGGTGATCTGAAGAGATAGTGTCTACCCCTTGAATTGAGTTCTTTAGAGGAGGACTAGACACTCTTGGAAGCTTGTTGGTAGAATATTGATATAGACCACAGGCCTTCTGTTCTTAATACACAAATCGGATATCTGAATCTATTAGTGATATTGATGGAAGGTCCATTGACCTTCACTCATTATTGTAATTTGTGGCACTGTAATGTCCCTATGTCACTATGAATTTAATTACGGACTGTGTTGATACTAAGTGTTCTGGTAGAAAATTCCAGTTATTTACTATTCGGTGTGAGCAACAGAACTCCAGACAGACGGTTTGGTCACGATTTTTGAACTCTCTCAGAATGTCCTCTCAGATGATTAGTAAAAGATGTAAAGAAAAGAAAAGATGTATACGTTATCGCAGTGTTAGATCGTAGCCTGCGGCAAGATAATGGAAATTGGCGATAACACCTCAGTTTGTCATCATAGGCCACAGAGACATTTTCACATTTTAAACCCTCGTCGTTAAGCTCGTTCTGACATATCCGCCTCAAACTCGAAACAAGGACTCGCTGATTTAATCCCAGATGCGGTTTCACGAAGGTCGGGTACAATATACTAAATATTTCTTCATTCAAGTAATCATCCTGTGCCACTATTCCATCTGACATACTGTGTATGGGTCTCCAAACCCTTATGTCATTACAAAGAGTAGAACAGATGACTTTGCCGATGGTTATTCATTTACATAAAGTAAAATGGAAGAAGACTAAGAAAATTACATTGGAGAACTCCAGCGCTTAAAGGTTACCACTATGAGAGTGCTCCATTTACACTTACTGGCTGTCTCCTATCATTGAGAAAGTCACTTATCTGGCTTTTGATCTCATAATGGATTCCAAAACTTTCTACTTTTCATATAAGGCCTGAATAAGAGTCTTTGTCAAAAACTTCAATTGGACCTGTGAAAATTACATCGACAGGAATTATCAGCTTACGGTTATGGGGATTACTGTTTTTGAGTGAGATCGTGGATTTGTTGAAGTTAGAAATTAACACTGTTGGTCGCCGACTCAGTGGTCTAGAGGTTAAGCCTTCATGTGCGAGATTGAATACCACACATGGGATACGAACCGTGTGTGGTATCGTGGATTCGCATTGCTGAGGAGCTCCATACTGAGACGAAACTAAGTTCAGTACTTCCGGGTTTTTGTTGGCAGGTTTAGCATCAATCGGTTCATGACATCGATCAAAATCTATGGAAACATTTCTATCTTCTGTTGTAGCCCGAACTTCTCGTCCAATAAGCAGATTTGTCAACACGAAAGGCCTTTCCGAAAATCGGGCTGTTCCCTGAATAAAAGATTGTGCCCTTCCACATAATTTGAATGAACCATCCAAATGATCTTTTCCATTAGTTTCGCAACTGCGTTGGCTATATTATTGGGACGATAGCTACTAACTATATGTCCACTCTCTATCTCACACACCGCAGTGATCATTGCGCACGTTCAGTTTCTTGACAGTCCGGACTGCCGCAGAGACATGTTAAATGGTATGCTTAGAGGCTGCATATTTCTTAGTTGTGTTTGTCAGTGACAAACCTTGATAAGGGGTGAATAAATGTAGGGATTATGGATGTCGGCTGAACTGCTAAACGAATTTACCTCATGATTTATATTATTTTTATATTCATTTCGGCAAACAGATGTCCAAACAAACATGTGTTCAGTATATATATATATATATATATATATATATATATATATATAACTATTATTTTGAATAATCCTAATAAAGTCAATAGAACTGACAAGGATATATTGTAAAGTG